AAATTTTGTTGAGTTTTGTTAATCAAGTAATTAATTGAACTATGATGAACTGGAATTTAATTAAACTTGTGATACATCCTAATTAAATATTTTCTTTACCTAATAATAGTAGAATGACAGGAAAAAGGGCATAATTATCTGACAAAAGATGATGGAGTTCATATGTCACAAAATTTTATAGTCAAATGGACTTTTATGGGAGCAGATAATATTTGGGAATTATTTTGCAGTGTCTGGATACAATATAAATGTTGACTAAATATATTTTGTTGGCCAGTCCTACTCTGCTACCTTTAATACAGTTGATGCTTCTGAACATTTCTACTTTCATAATGTTCTAAGTACTCTGTTCCATTCAGTACATACATATAGGCTATTTCCCAAAGTTTTCTGTTCTTTTCAAATGACAGTGGTGCTAGGCAATATATTAACCCTCTCTCATTTTGGTCTCATTTCCAGTGCATATTTCCCCATTCATTTTGTTCAGGATTTCTCTCAGGATCTTCTCAGACGCATTGTGATGAAGCAGGGTTATCAATGCTTACCAAACTTCATTTGGCATCTCAGTGTTTGTTGGAAGAGTCGTGTATGTCTCCCAAAGGATTTGCCAGAGTTGGTTTTGACCTCTTATACCACAGCTTTTGACTTACAAAAAGTCACTAATTACCAACCAGAGAGGTGAATTTCTTTTTCTTCTCTTGCCATAATAATACAATTTCTTCCAAGGACAGGAAAGTTCTGTGTTAGGTTCTGCTGGAAAAAAATTAAGGCACTAAGTCAGAAAATGAGAGGAGAGGTCAGAAAATGGAGGAGAGAGGACAAACAAGCAAATTCAAAAAACCAAGGGTAAGAAGCTTGAAGAGTTTGTGTGTACGTGAGAAAGCAGGTGGTAGAAAAGTATTTTGCAAGGTTGAGTGGAAACAACTGCGAAAAATAGTAGAGATGACATCCTCCCAAAATATTGTATCTATGGTTATTTTGCTTAAAACATAAAATGTTCTGAAACTAAATGTTACTTTTCCAGTCCTGGCATATTGTGCAAAGTATATAACACCAATGGATGTTGCAGTTGGAGCTAACAATGAAGTTTGAACCTTCAGATAACTATTAAGCCCGGTATGGTTTAAATCTGAAGGACATTTTTAAGGTAGGAATTCTTATTATTTTAAGTAGTGCGTAAATTATGGGCTGAACTATATTGCCCCCAATTTCATATGTTGAAGCCCTAACGCCTAAAGCCTCAATGTAACCATATTTGGAGATAAGGCCTTGAAAGACGTGATTAAGTTCAAATGATGCCACGAGAGTGGGCCCTCATCCAGTCTGACTGGTGTCCTTATAAGAGGAAATTTGGACACACAAAGAGATGCCAGGGTGCATGGGGAAAAGACCATATGAAGGCACAGAGAGAAGGCAGCCATCCGCCAGCCACGGAAGGAGGCCTCAGAAGAAACCAACGCAGCAACATCTTGATCTTAGACTCGTAGCCTCCAGAAATGTGAAAAATAAATGTCTGTTGTTTAAGGAACCCAGTCTGGTATTTTATTATGGCAACCAAAGCAAACTAATACAGTGTGCATATGGTTTTAAAGTCAAAAAAATTTATTCCCCTCAAAAAAAATTTTTGAAATATAGTCAGTTAAAATGTGTCAATCTCTGGTGTGTATATATTGCCCCAGTCATGCATATATACATACATATATTTATTTTAATGTTCTTTTTCATTAAAAGTTATTATAAGATATTGAATATAGTTCCCTCTACTATACAAAAGAAATTTGTTTTTTTAATCTATTTTTATACATAGTGGTTATCATTTGCAAACATCAAACTCCCAAATTTATCCCTTCCCACTCCCTTTCCCCCAGTAACCATAAGATTGTTTTTGTAGATAAGTTCATTAGTGTCTTCTTTTTGTTTGATTCCACACATACGAGTGCTATCATATGGCATTTTTCTTTCTCTTTCTGGCTTCCTTCACTGAGAATGAGGATCTCTAGATCCATCCATGTTGCTGCAAAGGACATTATTTTATTCTTTTTATGGCTGAATAGTATTCCATTGTATAAATATACTACAACTTCTTTATCCAGTGATCTGTTGATGGATATTTAGGTTGCTTCCATGTCTTGGCTATTGTAAATTGTGCTGCTATGAACATTGGGGTGCATGTATCTTTTTTAATTAGAGTTCCCTCTGGATGTATGCCCAGCAGTGGGATTGCTGGATCATGTGGTTAGTAGGAAAACCTTCTTTCCACATAGAATGAACAACAGTAATGCTTATTACAATAGGGAAGATCTGAGACTGAATACAACATTGGCAAGGAAATATCCTGCCTGGAATAAAACTAACAATAACTAGGCACTATTTGGGCAGCTGTCTCTGAATCTACTTCCTGTTACTCAGCAACCACCACCTCAGTTCCTTCTCA